CTCCACACACTAGATTATGAAACTGACAAAACGCATTATAATTTAGCAAATAATGATCAACGTAAGATTATAATTGCGTATCAATAATTTTTCTCAAGCATTTATAGCATTAGCCCTGAGACAGACCTACTAGGTTCAAAGCCTGGTTCTAGGAGTGAGACTTTGGTGAATCTCAAAACTTCAGTGCCTTTTAGAAAATGGACCTAACAATTTCTATACCTTATTGGGTTGCTGTGAGGATTAAATGAGATAATGTATTCAAAGTACTCAGTATAGTGCCTGTCACATAGATCACACTCAATAAAGAGTAGCTTCTATTACTATTTACCTTTCTTTCTTACATAATGATGTAATGAGAAAAAGAAATCCATAAAACATAAAGAAGTAAATCTAATCAACTATAACTCTCACTGAATAACACATACTATAAATTGTGAATGACACAAATGCCCCACTTGCCTTTTTTTCCCTGTCCTGGGAACACTGTTTTTTGATCAATGGTCACTTACATTCCCAAAAAGAAAAGGATCAAATTATTTAGACTGCCATGGAGAGATAAAGGAAGGATTAGAAGACTAACCCATGTTGCTTGAATTCCAAAATAATTACATACTGATCTCATCTGTTCTTCCCTGAGGTGCCTGATGACACAGACACAGTGAGGCACCTTCTCTGTAGAGCACCAGTCATTTTTAAAAGCTGCTCAGAGAACATCTGTGTCCTGTTTAAATCCAGAATAAAATTCTTAATGCCGATTTTTAAATTCCCAGGAAGAAATATAAAAGGGAGTCATGCTTTTCCCCCACATTGTCACTCATGAAGTACAGGGGTTCCTCACTTTACAAAATGTACAGCCCTAAAAAACTGAATAATGTAAATTATATTTTAACTGCACCAAAGGAGCTAGTTGATTATTAAACCTATAATTAAAAACTAAAATAACAGAAGTTAAACATACTCAGTTTATCAGTGGGTTGTGTTTTATACTTGACATATGTAAGCAATATTAGAAAAACTACAGAGCATTTCCCACTCCTCCCTTTCCCTAGGGCTTTAACAAATAATTGACATGAAGAAAAAAATATATTAATCAATTGCTCCTTTCAAATATATTTCTTTAGAGAGCCTGAATATAGTGGAATTATGTCACACGTTTCATGGACCTCAGGGGGGCAAGTGTACAGGGTCATGTACTGGTATGAGCACGCAATGTGAGATACCTGCTCCAACTGTTCAGGTGTCCAGGGGTTATCACCAATAACTCGTTTAGCTGCATAAAAGCTCATTCCTGGGGGAGGCTGTGGGATTCCAGAACCTCCCCCACTGTTTGAAGAAGAAGCCTGTGCTGAAGATGAATTTTGGCGACTCTGGGATTCATTTAACACATATCTGGAAAAGAAATACACCTTTAACCTTGTATAAAAACAAATGCATTTACATTGTACATACACATATTAAGTATTCAATTATACACTGTCCTCCTATAGTATGTTCCTAAAAGAATACACTTGAAATTAAAATTTTATCACAAAAAAAACTGAAAGGTATCTTCAGCAAATTAACCAAAACTCAACCTGGTTACAAATGAACAACTATCAATAATTAATATAAAGATTTTGATCACTCTCAATCTATAAACTATTGGTCTATAAGCCATGCTGGACCAACCACAACTTGAGTTTTTAGTTAACAAATACAGAGAAAGGTTTGCTGACTTGGAGTGGGGATGGAGTGGGTAGGAGGTACTATTATTTTATACCCAAAGCAGAGTATTTTTATAGTCATTCTCATTTCTACTAAGTTGTAATTCACCTTCAATTCTCCCTGAGCTCTTTATATCCCTACATTAGATAACCCACTGAAACCTCCAAACCACCTACCACACAAGCACACAATGCCCCCAAAATGAAAAAATCAAAAGCGCCCAAAGACAAAACCTCATGAAAAACAAAAATGAGCTTTTCCCATTATATGTTCAAAGCCCTTTGCAACTCCTTGTTATTATTATCCTGTTTCTTTTTTAGCTTCTATAGAGTAGAAATAAGATCTCTGATAAATTCATTTCGATCCAATTAAACTGGTATTCTTCATCTACAAAATGAAATTTTTGATATAAATATTAATTCAAGTTCCTTCAAACTAAAATTCTATGCTAATGAATTCCATTATCATATTGGATATTAAAATATCCATTATAATAAAAGTTAAAGAAAACACTTAGAACCTGAGAGCATAATAAATTATTCTACATTACTTACATGTCATATTCATTCAATTCCTAAATTCACCAATTTTTAAAAAACCTATTAATGAATCACTTTAATATTTTTATAAAAATGAAGCAAGTTGTCATTGGTAAGAAAAATGTGATGAATCACTCACTGGCTTGGGTACATTATGTTCTTAAGTTAAATTTGGATTTCAAGTTTTATTTACCAAAGCCATCATCACCTGTCAATTCTGGCTGCCTCCTGATTTAACAAATATAAAAAGAAGTTTTCATTTATTTCCAAGTTATAGCAAGACCGGTGGCATTAAGTAAATCAATCAGTAAATACCGAGCATCTAACACTGTGCAAAACATCATCCCAAGAACAAGACAGGAATCTAAGGAGATGTAAGATTGAGTCTCTGCCATATGGAATAAGTTGAGGCAGTAACAACACAACACATGTAACAGCCCCTGCCATGTTACCAGATACAAAGAAACCACAGAGAAAAAAGAAATGATATGACAGACATGGCGGGAGTAAACATGGAGCACTGAAGGTCAGGAAAACTGAGCTACCAAACTAGAGAGGCAGAGGAGAATAAACTGGAGAGGAAAGAAATCATACAGGATGAACTCTCGTTTCTGGATTGAGAGACAGATGAGATGGAATCCCACGTGCCAAGTTTATCACGTACATATATATTAATATTTGTAATCAGGAAAGAAACACAATGAAAGCAGCAGTTTAGAAAAATTTCTTCGGCAGCCAAACAAAATAAACAGGCTAGAAGCAAATCACAACCTGGGCACCATGCCAGAGACCAAAGCTCAATAAAACAGGTCTTGAGTACAAGGAGCTCACAATCTATTAGGGGAGATGGAAATGTCAACAATGCAATGAAAACAAAAAGCAGCCATACAGGTTGGTGTTTAGTGCTATGATGACATAAAAAATAGTGCGATTATATCTGCCTAGGCCAAGAAATTACGTCAGAGACACACAGAGTTACTATCTAAGCCAGTGTGGGATGCGTTTTCAAAGCTGTTTTTTATTGTTGTTTTCTTTTTGCATTTCTTTCATTCTTTTTTGATGAGGAAGTATTCTAAGTAGAGAAAACTGCATTCTCTTAAAAAATAAAAAGGCAAGGACATATAAAAGTGCATGAAATGCACGAGTGTATGTAATGACTGGAAAATGAGAGCCCAACGGTTTTAAGGTGTGAGCCAATAAGATCTGTGTTTTAAAATCAGGAAAGTCTATCTACAGAAGTGTAGAAGGGTTTGAAGAAGAGTAGCCAAAGAGAAAGAATTTGTGACAAGAGTTGAAAAGAGCCAAACAAAACTACATGGTAGCAGTGGGAATGGTTCCAAGACAACAAAGAGGAGGAAAGAGGTATTATGGAACTGATGTTGTAGCAACAAAGAGAAAAGCTGGAGACAATTTATAACTGTATGCCTAGATGGTGAGGAGAACCATCATAACACTGATGGTAATTTTAAAAGAAAAACTATTTTTATGGGGAAGACTGGTCTCAGCTTGGACAGGCAGAGCCTGAAATCACAACAACAACCTGGCATTATATAAACCCAATAAGCAGCGGAGCTGGAGCTCAGAAGAGGTCAGGGCTGCAGCAAAAAGATCAGAGATCCATCCATTTACAAATGAAGAGTTGAATCATTTAAGATAGTACTTAACTCCACACAGTAAAAGCAGTCAAGAACAAGGTCACTTTGTTTTTGTTTTTTTAACTCACCCATAAGGCATCAGAAGGACATCTAGCATGAAGTCCAAAAGCAGCTGCACAGTCTTTGGTTTCTCAGCAAGATTGAATGGAGAAGCTGATTTTGATGAGTCAACAGGGTATTTCATGTGAAAAAGGGTTGGTATTAAAAGATGCATTAAGCTGAAAAAACAATCACATTTATTGCAACTACTTAAAAAATAAGGTTTTTAGACATGCAAATAACAGCTAAAACAAAAATCACATAACAAAACCTGGCAATTGTAAGCAAGAGCCATTCATTCTCAAAATCGCTAATTTACGAAGTCCTAATCTAGGGACAGCCAGATGTATTTCTAATTGAAAGCTCAGTCTATTGAGTGATAATTGGTATTTAGGCAATCTGGCCCATCACTAAAAAGATCTGAAAAAATGTACATAAAATGAGCTCAATGTTGATATCTGAAGTTTCCACAGGAGACTTTATATTAAATCTTAGGAAAAGTTCAACTGACAACATATCCTTTCAACAAAATGTTTCTCTTCCACAATTAGTTAAAGTAAAGTTACTCTAAATCTAAAAAATTAAAAATCATATATTTTGAATACAATATTAAATTTTCCACTGTGTGAATTTCAGTAATGTAGTATCAGTAATTCCTTCTTTCACTAATACTTTTTTTTTTTTTTTTTTAAACGGGCTCGCTCTGACACCTGGAGTAGAGCGTAGTGCCGTATCATAACTCACTGCAACTTCAAACTCCTGGGCTCAAGGAATCCTCCTGCCTCAGCCTCCCAAGTAGCTGGGACTACAGGTGTGCACCACCAGGCTGGTCTCGAACTCCTAGGCTCAAGCAGTCCTCCCGCCTTGGCCTCCCAAAGTGCTAGGATTACAGGCGTGAGCCACTTCACCTTGCCTTCACTAACACCTTTTAATAGTCTCGAAACACATGAAAACAATTTCAGACAGTGCTTGTGATTGTTTATTAATTTTACTTGTAAACTTCTGTATTGCGGTCTTTCTTTTAGAAATGAACATGCTCTAAAAAGTCAACTGAAAACATTATTTAACTTCATCTTTCCTCTACAACTTCTGCACTCTTTGTAATGATCCCCACTATGACAGGGCTACAATACAGAACCTTTGGGTAAGCCCAGAATCAAATGATGTTATCTAAATCTTTCTACCTCTCGAATCCCCATATTAACACAAACAAATGCTCTATTCCTTAAGAAAACTGCTCTAAAACTTTATATACTTTAAGATAGAAACGCTTTATTGTAAAGGATTTTTACCTCTAATTTTCACAGTCATAAAATTAACTGTTTCAAAAATAATTGACCAAAAAAGGTATTTAGATTTTTTAAAATATTAATTCTGCATTTTTTCAATGTTCACATCAAGAAACTTTATAATAGCATTAATAAACAGTAACTTTGAGGTACCCCAGAAAATTCAATTATGTATCAGCTAAAACAGCTCAAGACTTCCCAATTGCCCGAATAAAACCAAACATGTGGGCCTATATTTGAAAAGCAACTGTTGACTCTCGCAGGTGGGAAAGAAGATGATTGAGGAAGCCATACCTATCCTGCTGTGGCTGAGGCTTCCCTTCCATGGCAGTAAGAAGCGTGGGGGCCAGTTCACATTGTTTTTCCACTGGTAGGCGAGGATAGCCCATCTTAACATAAATTATAGTAAAATTCTAACGCAACAAGAGAAAAGCAAGTGAGCATGAAGGAAATACTCTACGACTTCAACGAAAACATACGGCTGATAAGGAGTTACGGTTACAACAAAGAAATCATAAACCCAAATCATCCTTTCTCCACGTGTCTATCACACTTGACCAAGTACTGTATCTCAGAGGAAGAATTTCAATCCAACATATTCAAAGTGTTCGCTTTAAGGTAGGCTTCATACAAGGAAGCATGACCTAACCTAAAACACTCATATATGCAATTTCTTATCACGGAGAAGAAAAAATAATCATTCAACCTATTTAAACCTACACACTACACATTGGCATTGGATCTCCCAGTTCGTCGCATTAATCCTTACAAGCTATGAGAAGACCTCACGCTGACAAATCCTAGGCTGCCATTTCCCAACTGGTCAGTCACTAAAACGACTTTAGCATACTGCAGCACTGTGCGGTTCCTCACTCCAGTAACTCCCTGATTGATGATGAACCAAGGGAAACAGTGCTATGGGTATGTTTGTACGGGTTGAGCATCCCAAATCCAAAAATCTATGCTCGAAAATCCAAAACTTTTTGAGTGTCAACATGGCCCTCAAAGGAAATGCTCACTGGATTTGGGATGCTAAATCAATTAATTATAATGCAAATATTCCAAAATCCAAAATCTGAAACACTTCTGGTCCCAAGCATTTTGGATAAGGGATACACAACCTACATCACTATAATCCACGTGAATACCGTATTTTAAGCAAACCTATAAATACATGTCTGGATGAACCCATAAGATAAAGATTTGCATTTCCAAAGGATTCTTCGCTAAAGTGAACAGGCTTTGTAAGATTATTATTTTAAATACTTCCTATCTGGCATTTTTACTGGCACACAGTGTTTCTATTTGCTTAAAGAAACACCTATAATGGAGCTGAACATCCAGAACAGGCACAGATAAGAATGTCTGGACCAGGAAGCAGCTCCAAAAGAGTTGTGACTCCAGCTGTCAGATAAGATTCAACAGCTGCTGCCTCAATGCTAGCACTACAAGGATCAGGAAAGAATATCACCTGTCATCCCACAGCACCAACATTTTTTCCATTTAATTTTCATGAAGACAACAATTTAATAGGAATATACCTTGCCAGCCTCAGACTTATTCCACTTTTAAAAAAGGATACCTTTCTGAATATACACATCAGAAACAGATTTTTTTAATTCAAATCTTTGTATCTTTTTGCCATTTTACTCCTTTTTTTCTTCTATTATCCTTTATTCATGCCTATGCTACATAACCCTTTTCTTTCCTCTATTCAGATTCATCTCATATAATCTGTTACTAAGAATCAAATCATTCTGTTATATATCAACATACCTGACAAGTCATTTCGCCAACATT